GTCCGGAAATTTCCTTTCGTATAGCCTTCCAGTGACTTTAGATTGCAGTAGTACCAAACATGAAAAATATATAAGGAGTAGCAAATAAGGTTGTGCAAATCACTTGGGCACAGAATGGAGTGTCAAAATGAAGCGTCTCTGGAAAGTTTAGTACAGCTATTCTGAAGCTCGCTCTTCTGATCATGTGTCCATGTGAACTCAATCTTGAACTGGCCATACCTTGACAATTCCAAGTAGCAGATTTGAAGAGTCCTCTTGGACAAGCTGTCCAAAGAAACATATTTTAACCTATGAACAGCCTGTACTCTAGAAGTATTATGGGGATTCCTTCCATGTGCATTTCCAGTTTGGAAGCCTTGAAGGACAGATACGGGAATAAACCTTATGTGAATCATAAGGAATTAATTATCACAAGAAAGCTGTATTCACGTGACACATTTAACAAGCTCAGTTAATGTTGATGGGGCCCTATTTGCCCCACATGATAAACTTGGTACCATTAAATAAGGATATTATTGTGTCATAGAAACATTGCTTGTTTGTATTGCACAAGGTTGTGCAAACCCAGAAATGGATGAATTTAATATTCAGCTTAAATATGTGTGAATATAACCCGTATCTAGAAAACCTCACATTTTACGGGTTTAAACAACTTTGTCTAAACTCCTATTTTTATGGAATATTTCTGCTTCTTGAGGAGTTTTTTACTTTAAAATTTTTATGGGTTTAAACAACTTTGGCTAAACTCCTATTTTCATGAAATATTTTTGCTTTTTGAGTTTTTTTACTATCTGGTTTTTATTAGCTATTTCAAGGGCTCTTTTAATCTCAGATATGGGTATCTATGTATGGGTATATTTCCCCAACAGCCATAAATACATTTCTCAGAAGAAAAATTGGGGAAGGAAACTACACAAACTTTAAGATAGTTTTTTTTTTCTCATTTTATTTCTAACTTAAGGGAAAAACAATTCTGCATGCGTAACTTCTGCTTTACATATAATTTTAAGTCATGGAATAAACTGAAATGGTTGAATTCACACAATACGATGAGTCCAAACTAAACATATTACATAATCTGTGAACCTAGATTTTTTAAAAAAGTTGATTCAGTATAACAGCAGTGGTGGAAAAAAACTAAATTTGGAGAGGGAAAATTTTTGAGGAATAAATAGAATCATTGGTTATGTTTAGTCTCAAAAAAACGAGACTATAGAGAGACATGATAAGTGTCGCAAGGAGTTTATGGCTTTCATGTAGAAGGCAGGGCAGAAAACAGGATACGAAAGAGCAGATTTAATTTACAAAGAAATTATTTTGGTTTATACTGAAAAATGTCCTAACTGTATGAGCTATTCGACAATGAAACAGAGTGCCTGGGGGATGGTGACCTCATCTTCAGAGATGTTTAAACAGAAGCTGGATGATTACCTGCCAGAGAAGCTATGTCAATAGATTTCTGCTGTGGCCAGAGTCTAGGAAATCTCCAAAATAACTTCAACCCCTCTCATGCCATAATTCTGTGATATAACAAACTGATTCACCAAGCTCTACATCTTATGCCTTCCAATGTGATGAACACCATAATTTTAGATCAGGATATGCAAAGATACTACTGATAGGCTGAAGTTATAATGTACACCCTCATCATTTTTTGGCTCCACTTACTAATGATCCCTCATTGTGTTTGGTATCAACGTGTAGTAGGATTCCTGCTCTGCCCAATGAAAATGATTTTAGATATCTTACATATCTTTGTTATTAGCAATAACAAAATTCAGTCACCAATTAAAATTACAAAACCCAACAACAGAAGGAGCAAACTATAAGAAGTCAGCTTCAACTTCAAAGATAAAGCATTATGAACGCTTTATGAAAAAGCCAAATTTGTTGCTAATATTAAATATAACAGGAGACTGGAAAAATGACTTTGAAAATATGGGACAGATTGTTTAAAGATAAGCAGTTTCAAAGTAATGCTGGTCTAATCAGAGTAACCATAAGCCGTCCCTTGGGAGTCCCTTGGGAGTTGGGCGGCATAGAAATGCGACAAAATAAATAAATAAAAAAAAGCTAACCATAGTGAGTGCCTTGAGTTGGGTCTGTAAGACACTTGGGGCAAAATTTGTAACACAATGTATGCAGCAATGATGAAAAGCCCATTCCCTCATTCACACTGTTCCATTTTTTGACCAACTAGAATTTCTGACTACTTTACAGCTGCCTTATGAAAACTAGGAGATGGAAAGCATTATGAACTGGTATCTTAGCAAACATTAGTAAACAAGATGTCCACCCACTCTTCTAAATATTAGATGGAATTGCCTTCAGTTTAATCCAGAAAAGTATGGTGCTCACATACTAAGAGCTATAACCAGTAATACAAAAATATTCCCCTTCTCCATATAAATAATTATCTAAAATTATCTTGGCTTTCTCTGGCTGAGGAATTCGGGGAGTTGAAGTCCACAAGTCTTAAAGTTGCCAAGGTTGGAGACCCCTGATCTAAAGGATATCTTTTAATGAAGTTCCTGATTAGACACAAAATATTCATCTCTCTCTCTCAGCTAGTTGTGATTTGTATAAATGTCCATCTTTGAAACATAAGCTGCCTTGGTGGGTTTTAGTCATTTGTTATCTTGGAGGTGGAAGATGACAGAGAGAGGGTTGTGTGGGTTGGGACACTTCAGGCACATATGTGCCAAAGAAATGGAATTCATGTCATACTTTTCTACTGTTTTCTTTCTTTAGTAGTGACTTATCTTTCAGGAAACCTCCACTTAATGTAGAATCACTTGCAAAGGCATATGGTTGTCTGCCTCTGAGCCACACTTGGCACCATCTGTTTTCAAAACAGGGATGGGTATCATCCTTGACAATCCAATATTTCATATTTGCAATTCAGAATGAATAGACAGACAGGACTCACTCAACATAGCAGCTAGAATCATGAATGGCTCTCAGAAAGCAGAAATGGAAATTTGCTTGGGTTCCCAACATATTTACCAGATCACACAAGGTTAATTTCAGTCATTAAAGGAAAAGATGGTTGAGTCAATCTTTTACCCTTCTTCGTGTTTTTTTAAGACATAAGAGTAAATATTATTCACTCTAAAGAGTAAGTCATTCCAGTTTGGGTTGCTGCTTTCACTGTCAAAATACCTTGATTCATAACTGATTTTTTAATGTTTTAGAATGATTCATTTTATAATAATTAAATATATTTTGCTACTTTAGAAATATACCATGATATCTTGCTTATCTAATGAACAACTTCCTGACAGTTCAATGTTAGTGGCAAGCTATATCAGGCTAGCAACCAACAATTAATTACATGTTTTAAAAAAAGTCAAATTTATTTCCAGATACAATTTCCTGTCTGGACTGAGTGGAACTCCCCATAGGGCTATCTTTAGATAGAAAAGCGGCCTCAAGGTGTTTGAGTGTGATAATACAGTATGATTGTTTTCAAACAATCTTTGTATAAATGCAGATGAAAAGATTTACAAATTCCCACAATGGAAGAATGGATGATGAAATTAATGGAACTCGCTGAGATGGTGAAGTTAACGGTTATGGTTAAAGAAAAGACTTTGTGTAACTTTGTTTCTTTGTGGAAATCACTTTTGAACTTTTTTGTTAGCGGCTGAAAGAACTATATTAATTTTGAGATTTGGAAATATAGAATTACTGTGTGATATTGAATTTTGCATCTAAAATTTAATGTATCTTAAATTTGTAAGAATTGAAGAAAGTTGGAAGTTACTTTTTTTTCTATTTCTTTTCTTGTTTCCATATCCCTTTGCACCTCCCCTTTCCTATTTTTCCTTATAAAAGCGCATTTTATAAGGTAATGAGTATCATATGATTGACGTTTTATTTTTCCATTAAACATATTTTTGTATTTTAAATTAATCTGTTTTCTTCTTCTTCTCTCTCTCTCTCTCCTCTTGGTAAATTACAAATTTAACTGTCCTGCATTCCTGTTACCTGAACTCAGAAATCACTATAAGCTTCGTTATGAAGGTTAGATAGTGCCCAATTGAGCCTGATCTTTTCCCCCCATAGAACTATGACCCTTTCCAAGGTTAATGGATAATGGCATGCATAGCCATTTTTGCCAACCTGGTCGTGCCAAAAGAGATACCATTCTGTTCTTTGCACAAATAATGTATGTAGTCCAGATATGGTGCCTCCCACATATCTGGTGCCAACACATCTGGATTTCCCAGGCAACAGGACTGGAGAAAACTGATTTGCAATGTGATGTGAAGTTACATGTTTCTGTCCCCTGCTGTGAGATGTTTACCTTGCAGCAAGATAAAAACATATTATATAGCAATGTGTTCTGCAGCCAGATTATAAAATGATCAGTCCCTATCCTTTGCATATGAGCAGGTACATGCCACAGCTTTCCCCCCATATAGCAACTTCCATGATCCCAAGCTCGCATGACTGGAAAAATGCCCACAAATTATCAATTTCACAAAATAACAATATGAGTGGGTCGGGATCAAGTAGGGAAAGTTAACCATTTTGGTGGCTTGGTTTCATTTTAGGATATGTTTATAAGAGGACGCTACTCAGAGAAGTTGAATCCTTAAGTAGGGTTATGATTCTAGTTACAAATTGGTATGAATGATATGTATTCATGCCAGCCTGTCTTGAAACAACAGTGGACATTTCTTCATTTGCAAGAACAAACATAGCATCTTCCTCAACCACACTTGTATTTTCTTGGAGGTTCTGTGTGATTCAAAAGCTTGCATGCAGTCTTAAGTATTATCCTGCTTTATTGTTGTTTCTATTTTGCATCTTAATTTTCACTGCAGTAGAAGAAAATAAAATGATCTGATTATGGATGAGATTAGTATCAAAAAGCTATTCATAATGTTTTAAAATCTCTTGATTTACTTATTAGCCTTGTTTCCTGATTTCACACTCTTTCTTTCTCTTTCCTTTCCATCCCTCCCTTCCCCCCCCCCATCCTGGCACAACAGGAATCATTAACCAGTGGCAGCAAGAATCAAAGGACAAAGTGATTTCTCTATTGCTCACCCACCTGCCTTTGCTGAAGCCAGGGAATATTGAAGGAAAAGTGGAATACATGAAACTACTTCCCAAAATCCTGGCTCACTCAATTGAACACAACCAACACATAGAGGAGAGCAGGCAACTCCTGTCTTATGCTTTGATCCATCCTGCCACATCCCTGGAGGACAGGAGTGCTCTTGCCATGTGGTTGAACCACTTGGAGGACCGCACATCGGGAACCTTTGGCAGCCAAAACAGAGGTCGGTCTGACTCGGTGGATTATGGGCAGTCACATTACTATCACCAAAGACAGAACTCGGATGATAAACTCAACGGGTGGCAGAGCTCTCGGGACTCTGGCATATGTGTGAATGCCTCCAGCTGGCAAGATAAAAACCTGGGGTGCGAGAATGGCCACCTCCCTCTCTATTCCTCGTCCTCTGTTCCTGCAACCATCAACACGATTGGGACTGGCACAGGCACAAGTAAGTCTGTAATGTTTTTAAAGGTTGATGCTTTGCATCAGGTCACCAGATATGTCTGTCTCCAGAGTTCAATATTGGGTACTTCATTTCTAATCCACTCCACTATGACACCGAATAAGAAATTATAGATGCAGAAAAGGTAAAAGCAAGAAACTAGAGGGACAAATATTTAATAACGTCAGTGGTAATTTTAATGGTGTTTTACATATCAGTTCCTGCTGTAAATAAAATGGAGTAGAAAAAGACTTGCGGACAATCAAACAGCAATTGTCTGGCAACTTCTTCTCAATCTGTCTTCTCAGTTCTTCATTAGAACAAACATACAATGCAAAATAAAGCCAGTACAGATAGTCCTCAATTTAAAACAATTCATTTAGCAACTGTTTGGTAACATGATCTAAATTCAGGTGCTTGGCAACCAGCGTGTATTTAAAATAGTTGCAGCATCCCAGAGTTATTGCCATTTGTGACCTTCCTACCAGCTTCCGACAATGGGGAAAATCAGATTCACTTAATGACCACATGAGCCACTTAACAACTGCAGTGATTCACTCAACTGAGGCAGAAATGATTGTGAAATCAGGTGCAACTCACTTAACAATTGCCTTGCTGAGCAACAAAAGTTATCTTCCCAATTGTGGTCCTAAGTCAAGGACTGCCTATAGTGTAATAAAACTTCTCTGTACCTCTATGAATACCCATTCATGCACACGTGCATATACACTAAGATACACTGTGTTATATCTTCTCCATTGTCATATAGGTGTTTTCTCTGCAGTGAATAAGTTCTAAGAAGAAGACAATACTGAAGTTAAATAATTTAATCAGCAATGTAGAACAGCCAATTGATTTATTATAGCTTCAATTTTCTCCATGGTGTGTTAAAAGATTTTCGTACAGATTTAATGTACAGAAACGATGATTGTCCAGGGGCAGCTGAAATAGAACTCAGAACATCCTTCAACCCCAGATGATGCTGCAGCATCATCATCATGTGTGTCAGGACATGTGGCTGCTCATTTCCGACAGCAAGCATTGTTTCTTAACCCTCTGCATCTTTATAGCCGACTATGAAACAGCGTTAGACGTGAGGATGGCAAGAAGCCAGTTCAGATTTGCATGTGCAAAAGCAGACAGACAAAACATGCAACTGTTACAACAACTTTCAACACATTAAAGCAAGTGGCTACATAAAAAATTTCTTGTGGGAAGGATCAGTTTGACCCCTCGGTCCGTGTGTGGGAAGCCCACAATTAAGTAATGGAAAAAAGTCATAGTTCTTCTTTTGTTCTTTCGCATTCCTTGTTTTCCTTTTTTCTTCTTCCTTGTGGAATACATTACATATTTTGTTACTCCAGTTCTGCATTTCTAATCAATTTGTTTTACTATTTACTTGTAGAAGAACAGATACTTCTTACTGAACAAACCAGTTTCATGTAACAGTGTCTACAGAAGGGGGCAATGGTGGGACAGCAACTACAAAGCATCCTAAATGAAGTGGGTTATCTGAGCCTCATCCAGTCAGGATTCAGATCTTGTATTAGGCATCACCTTGGGGAAGGTATGAGAGAACTTGAGAAAAGAGTACACAGAAACTGAAGCAAGTATGAGAAAGGAACTCAAAGTAATCCTGCCTTGATTTTGTTTACTACGAAATGCAACAGAGAGAAACTTGGACGGGCTTTCAAGATTTTGTTACTGTAGTCTACAACAACAATAAAATTAGCATTCCTTAAATTCCTGCTATTGTCCTGGCCCAGCTTACCTCCCTCCAAGAGTTGACAATTGAGAATCAAACTGTCTATGAAGAATCCATGTCATCCATGTCATAGTTGTATCAAAAGTGTTTTTTTTTTTTTGAAAAGGCAACTGGATTGATTTTTTAAGGAAGAAGACAATGTTCTGCTTCCTATCCTGGAAGCTTCATTAGTTATATTGGATGGTGTTAGAGCAGGGGTGAAATGCTCCCGGTTCGGACCGGATCACCCAATCCGGTAGCGATGGCAGCGGATGGTTCAGAGAACCAGTAGCAAACATCCCTCCCCCCCACTCTGCCCAGCTGAGCTGCGTGATCATCAGAGGCTTTTTTTTTACTTTTAAAAGCATTTTTTCTACAACCTCTTCAGCCGGAAAAAAATGCTTTTAAAAGGCTCTGACAATCCCAGCTGAGTTGCCTGATCTTCGGAGCCTTTTAAAAGCATTTTTTTACAACCTTTTCAGCCGAAGAGGTTGTAGAAAAAATGCTTTTAAAAGGTAAAAAAAAAAAGATTGTGCGCCACAGCTGATCACCCAGCCACCCTCGCGTACTGTTCTACTTACCGCATGCCTCCTTTTGGTGTGCACTACGCGCGTGCACCTGGCATGCGGTGCGTGGTGCACACTGCGTATGGGCAGGCAGCGAACTGGTAATAAACTGGTTCAGATTTCACCACTGTGTTTGAGGTAAAAGGACAATAACTATCAATAACTGTCCTATCATCTCTTAACACCATGAACAACTGATGAAGCTTCCTGGATAGGAAGCAAAACGTCATCATCTTCCTAAAAAAAAATCAGTCCAGTTTCCCTTTTCAAAAAATAAAAAACACTTTTGAGAGAACCAAACTGATTGCCCTGATCATGTGACCTGATTGGGACACATCCCTATTCATCACACAACATTCCTTTGTGGTTTTGGGGTACTCTTAACAGGAATCCTTCTGGCCTTCCAGCAGAATTGAGAAGTAGGAGACCCTGTTTTGAAGCAGTTAAATTCTGCCTGGAGTGAATAGTTCAGTTTGGTGATAGGGAAAGAGGAGGGGTCATCCGGTGATTGGTGAGTTGTGTGATACTACAGATAAAACCAATCTGTTTAAGTGGTTTATCGGAAATGAGATGTTAAGAGTACTTAAGATGTTGAGGTCATATGGAAAAGAGCATAATGCTTTCAGTTTATGCTCCATCTCTGTGAAACAGTTTGTTTAAATTATATACCACATTTATATTGCACCATAGTTGTCTGCAGATTCTTAGTGGCTTACAACATGAAAAACAAAAATAATAAAAATAAAACTCTTAAAGCCAACAGGAAAGAATACAGAGTTTTCCCATGGAGGTCCAGATGGTGCCATTATTGATGGTACTTTATAAAATAGTGATGCTGCATTGGGGTGAGACATTTTATTGTTTTAACATTCTATGTTCAGTATTTTGTAAACCTCTAGAAGACCTTGTAGAGTCATCAGATGTAAGTAAATACTGTAAATAAATAAAATCATATATTCTTAACATTCATAATTCAATCTACACCTTCACTTCCCTCCATACATTCAACTTCTTAAGACCAAACACTTCTTGCAGTTCTCTTACACTCATCACTATTCTCTCATAGTTCCACTGATACATAATACCACCTATTTTTCTTTCATTATTTCATTCCATCCATTCATTTGTAATCATTACTGTTCTTTTTTTCCCTCCTTGCTTTTCAATGTTGCAACTGTTTTCTAAATCTGTACGCCATTCGGAGTCAGTGTTGAGTTAGCCAGCCTTATAAATCTACGAGAGGAAGACTGTCCATATCTGTTGCACATGCTTTTAGAAGTGCCGTGAAGCCTTTTCAATGGGCAGGTTTTCAACCAGGTGAGCCTGTCCCACCAAAGGCGGATGTGGCTTCCTTCGAGCATCGTCTGCTTCTCATTGGGTGCTCCTTTCTGAGTCAGTCTCTGCTTGGTGCACAATGTTCCATTCAGCTACACTTCTGGCATAAAGCACCATTTCCCACCGAAAGAGCTGCTATGTAATACCTTCTTTTCCTTTGGCCTGAATGTTCTCTCCATGTCGTTCCTACACAAATAGCCCTTGTCCTAGGCCAAGATACTTCCTGACTTGCTACAATGAGGCCGTTCTGCTCTCACCAGGAGCACAGCTTGCTCTGCCTAACACGTCGCGCTTGTTCAACAAGAACTTTGCAGAATTTCTCTCCTGCTGGAAAATTTATAAAGTAGGATTTTAAATACAACGCATATATTTAGAATCTGAAGATTGTGAATCCGCATGGCATATAGATACATGCTTTTGAAAGGCAGGGTTTTTTTTTTTAGTAGTTAACAGTCTAAATTTAACATTTCTACTTAAAGAAGTGTTAACAGTCTTTCACTTGCACATATAAAATAAAAACATACAGGTAGAGATGAACACCTGGACTCGATTTACTTGTTTGTTTTTTGCAATCCCCTCAAGATTATGGTGCTAAAATTCTATGCCAACCGCCCACCTGCCTGAGTTCAATTTTCTGCTTCTTTAAAATCATTAGTAAAATAGTGAATGAAGCTACAAATAAACTAAAAAACATTATTTTTAAAAAACAAACCCTAACCTGCCCCCCCCCCTTGCAAATGCCTGGTCCAAAAGATACCAGAAAAGGAATGGCTTCTGCTGTAGAAATATTGCCTATTTCGAGGGAATCAGATTTCATCTAATGTACAGATCTTACTGAACAGTATTTCCTTCACCAATAGTCATGAGGGCTGAGGCTCCTGAGAGATGTAGTATCCTGTGAATTGCTCTGGTTTTTGGTCGGACCAAAATAAAAAAGTCAGATATAATATTTGTTTGTAAATAAATTTTCCTGTTCTTGAGCCTAAATACTGTCAGATGTGATAACAGCTAAAAATACATTAAGATCAATGTAGTAAAACAATCTGGTATGAAACATATAGATAGAATCACACATTAAAATATCCAGATACTAAACAACAGAATTTCCCAAACAGTAGTCCAATATCCAGCCATTCAGCCATCATTATATATATAATGATTTTGTGTGTGTGTGTGTGTGTGTGTTTGTTTCTATCGAAGCACCTGGTCTATCCCAATATGGGAGGGAGCATACTACTTCCCTTTTGCCTTTCAGCTCCAATCCAGGAGCCCTCAAGCAGTCGCATTCACGATAAACCATTTTATACCAAATTTATATTTTGCTGATATATATATTTCTTTTTCGTAGGCTTTTATGTGCATATTCTTTCTAGCCAGGTTTTACCTACGTAAGCTAAGATGTTCTACAGCCCTAGTTCTGTGAAATCTCATTCACAAGTTTCTGGGCAAGATACAAAAAGCGTAGCTTACGTAGGTAAAACCTGGCTAGAAAGAATATGCACATAAAAGCCTACGAAAAAGAAAAAGAAACATTGTACCTTTACAGGGAGGATACTTGAGAAGAGGGTGTGGCTCACTGATGATGCCTTACAAGGCAGAAATAGCTATTTGAGTCTCCCAAATTACAGCACAGAGTTGTTGCTTTTCAGCAAGATACAAAAAGCCCAGAAACTTGTGAATGAGATTTCACAGAACTAGGGCTGTAGAACATCTTAGTTTATATAGGTAAAACCTGGCTAGAAAGAATATGCATATATATATATATCCCATCCCTAAATCTCTAGATCAGGGGTGCAAAACTTTATTTAATTGAGGGCCGCATCAGGGTTTTGTTTGACTTTGGGGGACCTGGTGGGTGTGGCCAGCTTGATGTCACTCATGTCAGGGATGCCTGTGGTGGCCCGAGCGCTCTGCCAGCAAAAACGGAGCTCAGGAGGGCCACTCCATTTTTGCTGGCAGGGGGTTGCAGGAGGCTGTTGCAGCTGAAAATGGAGCTTGGGAGGGGCACCGAGGGCTGGTCCTTCACTGTTTCCAAGGCAGCCCCACGGGCCAAATCTAAGCACCCTGTGAGCTGGATACAGCCTCCAGGCCTTGAGTTTGACCCCCTGTTCTAGATAATTAACTATAAAAATTATAATAGCTCTCACAAAATAATAAATTCCTTCCCCCTATGACAGAGTTCCCCAACCTTTCTGCCTTTGTGGACCAGCAGGGGAGAAGAGGGGATGTTCCATGTGAGTGGTGGGTGATGCAGGTGCATGTGCTCCATTCATCTCCCCGTGCAAATACTTATACTTGTTCCTTGCTCAGCAAGCAGGAGTTGTGTATTCAGGGGGACCTACAAATTGGGGATCATCTGAATAGACTACAATTTAGTTCTAGATCAAATGCAAGATTTCTTTGAAACTTTGAAACCTAAAGCAATTCCATCTTGGGAAGATTCATTTTAAGCCTTCCCACCCAACCCTGGCAACTTCTAGGCACCAATTCAGCATTGTAAATACTAGCCCCACATTGTGGTCAATGTCTGGGAGAGAGGTAAAGAGTTCCAAAGTAGAGATCCCTGGGCAGAATTGTCCTCCCTTCCCAACTGGGGCTACTCCTTGAGGAAGGAGAACCACTGTAAAACAGTGCCCCTAGTCCAATCCCTTGAAGGTGGTCCAGAAGAATACCATGGTAGGTGGAATCAAAAACTACTAGGAGATCAAGGAGGACCAAGAAAGTTGTAATCCTCTAAACTCTGTCTCTCCGCAGAGAGAGATAGTCTCATTTATAAGACTATCTCTCCCATTATTTCCCATAGATCCCTCTGGAATCCATTAGGTAAAAGAGGAAGATACTCAAATGTTTTAAATAAGGGCAGAGTAAATAAATAACTTCAGCTGTTTATTTTGCCTTTGGGATTTTTTTCCAAATTTATCAATGATTTCTCTGGGAGAAAACACTAGTTGAAAGTAAATGTTAAAAGATGGTGTCAGGGTTCCAAGTAACACTCCCAACGAAAGAAGACTCCGAGGCTAGAAGTTCCATGCCACTAAGTGTAGCAGTCCTGAAGATCCAAAGAAAATGATGGCCTCCAGGGCTGACAGATAGTTTGCTTACCCAGATTTTTTTCAGAGCAGGGCCACAGAGGACTGATGGTTGACCTTTAGAAAGTACCTTTTAGGTCACACAGGGCAATGATAGATTCATTATAGAATCATTGTAAATGTGTTCTATAATGACAATATACAGTAAACCAGAGTAAATAATTGCAATCTTGCGGCAGCTATCTTTTTAAAAAATTAGATCTCTAAGATTTATTTTTGGAACCAGGTACACAATTTTATTTCATAATAGAAATAATAGTTTGTATCATACGTATTTATCCCATCCCATAACTGCATGTTTGTTGGTGACCAATTAATATTTCTATTCCACAGTTGAAGAATACAAAGGTTAGAAAATAAGAAATCGGCAAAAAACCAGCAGTGGCCAACAATTATAATTATTGCTGCAATCCCGTGCATTATTATTAAGCCATTAGGAATGGAAGAAGTTGTTGATCTGCTATGATCGCCAAAAAGAATGTGCCTTTTTCATATTCCCTTTGCAAGTTGTCCCTCGCCGCTCTCCACTTTACATCCAATTTGTATGAGAAGACATAAAATTTGCTTGACAGTCACATTAGTGGGCAATGAATAATCTGAAGCTTCATCAGAATTCATCAAAAATACCATATTATGAAATATTTTTATCTGAACTAATGCCAGTTGTAAAGGGCAGGTCGGAAAAAATCTGACTTGCCCTTTACAAAATTCATCAGAAATGCTCTATTGTGAAATATTTTTTATCTGAACATCACCAGTTGCAAAGGGCAGGTCAGTTGTGAGTGTTTCCGTTCATATCATTTTCTAATGGTTGGTCATCGCATTTAGAGTCAGACAATATATCTGTACCTAATCCCCTTACACAAGCGTAAGCAATCAAATGCCAGATTCAGTTGCTACAAAACAAATTCCAGGAATCTTGATTTCCAGGATTGATCAGTCTCCAAAGCAAATATTAAAGGCTGATAGTATTTCCATTACTGCTACTTTTTGTAGATATACTACTCATAGACTTCACCATGGGTTTAGAGTAGTTTTAGAGTAGTTTCTGTAACCACAACATAATCCGTGTACCCTGGTATGCAAATCACTTGACCCAAAGAGCCAAGTGGGAAGAGCTTGCAATAAATGTATGTGGAGATGGGAACATGAGAAGATCGCAGCTCTAATTTCCTGTATTGATTTTTGGGTTTTATTGTTGTTCAGTCTGGGGTTGCTTTATCAAAGAGAAATAATATTTCAAACAGAGCTGAGGTGTGGCTCTTTAGTGATGCAGTGTGATTCAAGAGTAGAACTCGGTGTTGTTGAATTTCAATCCTGTCTTTCCTGACCATTGGTCCTTTTGCCTGGGGCTGATGGAAGTTCGAGTCCACCAACAACTGGAGAGCCAAAATAAAAATTGAATCAGGCTGGATTTTAGGAACATTTCTCACCACTGTATGGTGAGCACCAATTGCTTTTCCACCCAGAAATGCTAACGATCAAATCTGGGACCTTCTTCCTGCAAAACAGGTACTTTGTCACTGAATGAAGAGATGCTTTAAAAAATCTAGAAGTTACAGAAATTACAGAAACCTAAAAAAATAAGTTGCTTTAAAGAAATGCTATATTCATGCTTCCACACATTCTGAAATACCTCTTTCAAATCATTTTCAAAGCACCTGCTTCCTGCTCAGTATTAACTTCTGCACGAAGAAAATATTGTTCATTTGGCAGTTCAGTTCCCCTTTATCCTCTGTGAAAGTTGTTGAGCAGATTGCCGTGAAAACTGGTGGATTTTTCTTCCCCACTATTTGGTTTGCTTGTTTATTAGATTTGTGTCCCACCTTTATTATTTTTATAAATAACTCAAGGCAGCAAACATACCTAATACTCCTTCCTTCTCCTACTTTCCACATAGCAACAAACCTGTGAGATGAGTTGGGTTAGGTGAGTGATTGGCCCAGAGTCCTTCAAATGGCTTTCATGCCTAAAGAGGGACTAGAACTCACAATCTCCTGGTTTCCAGCTTGGTGCCTTAACTAGCTATCTCTATATTGTCTCTATCGGAAAGTACAAAGATGCTGAGCTGTCATTGAACAATTTGGCAACTGGCAATCTGAATTCCCTGCAGTTTTGCAGGGCTCTCCATGGTTTTTTCCTCTTTGCCTGATGCTTAGCCTTGCTGATTATTTGCAAACAGTTAACTGCTTGTCAGGATTTGGAGCATATCTGGTGGATGATTATTTTTTTAAGCACTGAAAAGCGTGTGTGTGTATGTATGTATGTATGTATATGTATATATTGACACATCCGGCACTGTCAAAAGGCAATCTTCTACAATTTGTTAAGGAAAAAAATATACCCGTAATTTCAACAATCTTCCAAATCTTTTTCTCTATTTACTTACTGATTACATTTATTTATATGCTGCCTGATCAACATGCAACTCTGGGTGGGTAACAATAAACATAACAATGTATTAAAGACAGTAAAAACAAGTAAACTTTATCCATTTGGAGCAAGACCCAATGGACAATGTCATGACAACAAAATCAGGCTAACCTATTAGCGGAGCCCAGTCTCGGGGCAAGGACAGATCTTTAGTACCTTAGGAAAGGCTGGCAGAAACAGGGCCATCTGACTATGGGGTCTATAGAGCAAGTACTACAACAGAGAAGTCACACCTCCCCGGGTCCTATTAGATCACATTTAATAGAAGGCACCTGGAGCATATCTATCTTGTCAGACCTCATGGGACAAGGAAAGATAATTGGAGACAGTTGGTCTCAGCTGGCCCTATACCATGAAGGCTTTATAGATGGTAGCTAGCTATAGGTGGTATAGTGGTAGCTAGCACCTTGAATTGCACTCAGAAGGTCGCTGAGAGCCAATGCAGTTACATGGTAGAGATGGAATGTGGCATGCCCGTAACTACCCACCATATTGCATTCTGGACCAGATGTGTAATCCAAGTGATCTTCAAGAGCAGCCCCATGTAGAACAAATAGCAGTAGTCCTATGGAAATGACCAAAGCATGAGTGAGAGTGATCAGGACCTCCTGGTCTAGGATACAATTGATGCACAAGATGGAGTTCTGCAAAGACCCTCCTAGCTGCAGCTGCCACCTGCTCATCAAGTAGGAGCTGAGAGTTTACATGGACCTCAAAATTGTGCAGCTCTGTCTGTCCCTTTCAAATCCAAAGAGGGCAAGTCTTCAGCAAATTCCAAACCCCATAGCTATTCAGTCTTACCTTGTGTTTCCTCCTCCCCCCCCCCCAATCCAGCCTCTTAGAGCCTCCAGACAGTGAGAAAGCACCTTGAGACATCATCTGGCTAGCTTCGAGCAGACTTGCATAAACGAACACCATGCTGATGATATCTGACCACCAGACGACTGTAATCCGTCACTCATATAGATGTTAAAGAACAGCAGGGAAAGGGTAAAGCTCTGAGGAACACATTAGAAAAGCTGTTTTTGACAACTGATTCTGTCTTTCTGAAATTGCAGAACTGAAGTTTGTGGCCACAGAAAACTAGTTTTTTACAATGTTAGTAATTACTGTTCTCTCTCTGCCAAAACTCACAGTGGCTGATTGTATCCGCCTGTGCACTAAATTGTTGGGACTTTCATATGTCGAATTTTAAATTTGCCTGCCAGACTTTCTCAGCAATCGGTATTTCCTCCTTGATTACTTAGTTCAAAAGCAATGTTGTCTTGATATTTCTCGCTTTCCCTTTTTAGCACACACAGCTGAAGTACGATAATTTCAGCTGAGTAACTCTCTCTTCCATATACACATTTCCTAGTGTTGGCACATATAATTTGAAGAGGGTGGAATTTACTTTATTTGATAGTTCAGAAATAATAAATCAGCCAAAACAGAGTTTAAAGAACAGAGTAACAAGCGAAACAGGGTGAGTGAATATTTATCAGTCTTAATTATTTCAAGGCTATCAATTCAGGGATGCAATGATCTTGTGAGATGGGTGCATACAACACACTAAACCTTGATTAAGAAAACATAGCTGCCGTGTTCAAGTAACCTGCTGTGCCCAGATAAAGTATGTTATGGTTTAATGTAATATATTTTGTTCATATAACATATCAAGTTAATAGTTTGGTTTTCACAATTATCAACTATCCAATCACATTTTATCTAATCAAGCATTTTTTGTGAGCTATCATTGGACTGACCAAATTATGAGGTATTCCCCATATATTTGCATTGTGCAGTATTGAACATCTCTATGTACATGTATGTACATGCTTACCAATGCATTTACCAGCACTTTGTCAAACGTGTTGGTAGGTTTGACTATATAATTTCATTATATAGTCCTTGATAGATAGTCCTTGACTTACAACCATTCATTTTGTGACAGGTCAAAGTTATAATGACACTGAAGTGACCTGCAACTATTTTTCACAGACTGTTTATTTATTTTTTATTTATTTTTTAAATTTTTATACCGCCCCCTCTCCCGAAGGACTCGGGGCGGTGAACAGCCAAAATTAAAAACACACAATACAAATATTAAAATACTTTAAAACGAAATTAAATTTATCATTTATAAATTTATTTATTTATGTTGGCACCATCTCCATGCTCACATGATTAAAATTCAGCTGCTTGGCAACTGACTCACATTTATGACAGTTGCAGTGTCCTGAGGTCATTTGATCACCTTTTGTGACCTTCTGACAAGCAAAGTGAATGGGGAAGCCAGATTCACTTAACAAACTTGATACTAACTTAACAACTCCAGATATTCACTTAAGAACTTTGGCATGAAAGATTGTAAAATGGGGCAAAACTCACTTCAGCAATGGAAATTTTGGACTCAGTTGTCATAAGAATCACCTTGTGGTTGATATAGGCAGCAAATAAGTTTAATAATATTAATAAAAAATACAATTTAAAAAAGGTTGGTGTCTATATGGCTTTTGCAATGAACTATATTTGTGGTGTTTCCATAAGAACGATAGATCAAATTCCAAAACGTTGAGATCAGAAAATGTGTCAGTTACTTTGACTAATCAGGTAGAACCCATAACACTTGATTTAAAACTTTTCTATTGGAGTAAATGGCTAATGAGCTGAAGGTCTGGACCAGGTTGGCAGTATGAATAAGAATTATTGTTGTTGGCTTTGAATTTGCAAGTTCAGTCTTACCTTAAAATTGCCTGCATTCTGGTTCAGTTCAGAGAGTGGCATTTGTGTGTCCGTGTTGATCATAACAAGTAAGAAGATGGAAACATTAACACAGTTGCAAACCTTTTGTACATTCCTCACCAAATTCCCCAGGTGTGGAGAGGAAGCAAGAATGCAAGTAACTCAATACAATTCTTGCGTGCTTTATCAGTACCTCTTCCATGGCCAGTAGACTTATTAGCTATAATCCTCTTATTTCTTTTTTTTTCTTCCTTGTCCTTCTTCTCTTCCTTCTCCTCCTCTAAATGAAGAGTATCTAGAGTATCAACACCTGGGGAAACCCCATTTTAACAATAGAACAATTAAAGAAAGATTTGAACTGCCTCTGCAAAAGACTGGTGGTGATTTAACTATCATGAGGACATAAAGACCATTATTAAGGTGTCTTATAACTAAAATTAGAGGCACATGATGAGGAGGCCAATTAGTTTATATGTGAAGAAAGATACTAAGATATTTTTTTAAAAAAAAATACAGAGCTTTAAAGTATATTTGGTAACACTTCAATCTTAAACATAGGTTCAGGTTTTCATGTGTTTATACACAATTTAATGTGCTTTCTGAGTTGAGAGTTGTAATACAAGATTTGTGGAAGTGCAACTGAAGGATTTCCTTAAAACTGCCGATAGAATTCCCAACTATTCTTATGAGTAAATATGTAGTTTTTTATTGTTAGTATCACTGAATTTATTAGTAGGATAAGCTTGTAAATACTGCCTTTTCTACCATTTAATTGCTCCTTCTGTTATTTCTTTTTATTTTAGCTTTGTGGTGGCAGCAACCATCTGTTTACACAGAGAATGTGCTAATATCTGCAATGAAAAGATGTATGCATGGAAAGAACCAGTATTACACTAAATTTCTTGGCTACTCAGCTAATTGTAATTTCATGGAATGATCAGATTTCCATTAGAGAGAGACGTTCTGCATGAGCTTTAAAGTATCTCTGTGGTTTTTACTGACCACAACACTGGTAGAGGCCTAAATCAATCTTCCCCGATCTAGCGCTGTCTGTATTTTTGGGATTAGGGTTGGGTGGATTACCGTATCTGAGCAACAAAATCTAAATGACAGCAAAGGGCCTGGTGTTTTCTTTCTCTTTGCTGCCATCAAGAGCTCATCCACTTTTTTTTACAGCCCAGAAATCCATCTAGTTCACATATAAATGAATATGAATTCAGTTTGGCATTTTCAACTTGGAATAGAGCAATACAGCATGGCAATTTTCCATTTTCACCCCCAGTCCCTTAGACATCACTTGGAAGCAAGCCTTTATCTGTCTTTAATGCTACGATCTCAGAATGATGAAAATAAGCCATGTTAATGGAGTTCTCTTCCAGAATTATTCAAGAGTTTTGAAAAGTTAAAAGACCATGACAAAGCGCCCCTCTCCATGGTCCCTGGTGTTACAAAAAAAAATCCCCTTTTTCCTACAGAAAGAAAATAAATTGCCTGTGCCCTTCCCATCCATATTTGCAATACATGTGTGAATTTATTTGGCCAGTTGCAAAACTAAAAAAAAAAATTAAAAAAATGAAAAGCAATTGTTAAGGGGGAAGCCACCCTGTAGTGAAGGCGCCATTCCTTCTCTTTCTGTTAAAAAGTCTTTTTTGGCTCCAGTACTAACAACATAGCATGGGGGCCATTTTTCAGTGGTCATAGATTGCAAACTGGAGCTTTTGTGAGAGGGTAATGGCTTGTTTAACCCAGAGGTTCAAAAATGGCCAGTGGATAAAAAATTGGTACACGTTGATTATTTAAGCAGAACAAAATCAAACCCAGAAGTTATTTTAACAGAGCTTACCTGAATAAAAGTATTAAGGTTGTCTGTACTCCTTCCCCAGCAGTGGTTTGGAGAAACAGCAGATACTAAAAAAAATTAGCTGGGAGGATGAACAGCCAAGAGCAAAGCTAATTAAAAACACAGATTGCCAACAAGCCAATATTGGGAGGGGTGGGGACAGAATGTCTACTGTTCTAATAAGTATAGAGGATGGTCTTGAAGGGCAGAGCAAAGATCCATTACTAGAGACCAATGATCAAACAAAAGAGGTTTGAAGCCAGGCCAAGAAAGTGATTCATGAAAACCATCTCCGCAGTATATGTCCCACCTCTTAATTCATGTGAAGATAAAAGAGGGAGGAAGGGAAACACATTCAGACTTGCAATGTTGTAATGATATGTGGGAACGCATTTATTTATTTAGCGTATGGCATACAATGCTAGGGAAATCTACAAATGCTAGACGCAACACAGTCCTGACAGACTAAATTGCTAGTACATTCCATTCAGCACTTGCATGCCTATGTGGGAATGATCTTGAGAGACACAACAATGAGACACATCCAAGGGAGCAATCAAATAAAAGACCACTTAGCCAGTGGCGAAATCCAATTTTTTTTACTACCGGTTCTGTGGGCGTGGCTTGGTGGGTGTGGTGTGGCCTGGTGGGTGTGGCTTGGGCTTGGCAGGGTAGGGATACTGCAAAATCCCCATTCCCTCCCCACTCCTGGGGGAAGGATACTGCAAAATCTCCATTCCCACCCCACTCTGAGGCCAACCAGAGGTGGCATTTGCTGGTTCTCCGAACTACTCAAAATTTCCACTACTGGTTTTGCAGAACCTGTCAGAACCTGCTGGATTTCACCCCTGCACTTAGCCCACAACAGGAATGGGGGGGGCAGGGCAAGAGGCTCAGAAGAGACTGTAGAAAGTTAGCACCCACACTTCTAGAAGAATGAAATATTCTAGAAAATATTAAAAGGGCAGAATATTATATTTCCCTGGATGAGAAATGGAGAA